ATTTTGCACACACACTCTCTTCATCTCCATAATAAAAAATATGCTTTTTGTAACGCAAAGGAAAATACTTCTTCAAATTCTGACAAAATCAAGTCGTTCTCTAAGTGCTGTTTTTATTTTATTATTCTTGCAAATTGAAGTGCTTTTCAAATGAATTTGTGAGGCCATCTGGGTCATTAGTTGCAGGGAGATGAGTTTTGTGTGGGTAACCCTATCATGGCTTGGAAGTCTAGGTTTAATCCTAATTATAAATTTTTAAATTTTAAAAAGGTGCAAATTGAGATAAATTTTAAAAATATATAATTCAAATAACTTGTTACAATATGTACTATTTTTATAAAGTAAAATGACAAGCAGAAGACCATTTTTTTGTCTCTAAACTATGGACCAAGTAGGTCAATCATGGGGGAGATGATGCTTAATATTGTTTTTGGAATGAGATGACCTACTCACCTTAGTCATTGGTGAATTGTGAGAAGGGGAAACTGACCATGTTAAAGACATTGAGGAAGTTTGGGTATAATGGATTCATTATTAATCAATTACAAGATTGAAGTTGAAAAGTGGGATAGCTAAAAACATTGGCCTTCATATTCTCAACCCAATCTTCTTACTTGCTTATGTTGTTTTAGTACTTGAGTTATATAACAACATGAGGAAAAGTCTATAAATCAAATTTCAAATCTAGTTATTAGAGTGTCATTGAATAGACTCAGTTCAAAAAATATTTTTCAAACAAATCCCAAGCTATCTAATTTAGCATCTAATTGCTGGTAACTCCTTGTAATAAAAATAAATGGCCTCATAATATACAATCCCATATAGTTGTTACTCTACAAACATGTATTAATGTTATTGCTATAAAACATAGCTCTAAGGTAGGTAACAAAAGGGGAAAGCCTGGCAATGCCCTCTCTATCTCTCTCACTTTAGTGCTGATGCATTCTCTTTCTTACTTTTTTTTATTTTTTTTCTTTTTCTTTTGTTATTACTCTCTCTCTCGTACTTGAGCTTACTCCTTATTCTTGTGTTATCAACCGCCACTTTTGGCACGGTGCTCTTGTTATTTTTCTATTTGTTTGGTAATGAAATAAAGAGATAAATTACAAGTGTATACATACAAAGAAACATAGATTTTAAGTCTTAAAAAATAGTATATTTTACAATACATTATTTGGACCATCTATTTTTAAGATTTTTAAATGTTTATAAATTTGCCTGATCTACATATTTCTATGCTTTAATTTTCATAATTAGAGTTAGAAATAGATTTTGAGGCTATCATAGGGATTGATGGTATCATAATTGCATCTTCTAATAGTGTTGGAGGTGCGCTTTACTTTTTTTTATTTTTTATTTTTGGGTAGGGGGCTTAGGAATCAGACTTGAGTCCAAACCCGATTCCTTTAAGATTAGCGCCTTAAGGAGTCCTTTTAAATGGGAATTATGCCATTTCTAAATGAGAAAAAAAAATAAAACACAAAGAAAGGAACCTCCAAATTACAATAAGGCCAAGTTATTTTTGTAGGTGTGCTTAATTTTTAAGATAACTATTTTCTTGGGGCTGTTGCAAGACTGTGGCTTTTGCCAAGAAGTCTGTTTCCACCCAAGTTTGAAGTGTGATGGCCTGCAAATTAGTTCTTTGAGTCTCGTGAATACTTGAAATAGAGGGTCTAGATAACATGTTATCAAAATTTATTTCTAGAGTTTTGTTTTTATTTATTTATTTTAATTTGTTTAATTTTTTTAAATTTTTATTTTTATTTTAGATCCATAGTTGTTGAAGTCAAGAACCAATGTTGATTCGACCAGTCAAGAACCAATGTTGCTACCAGTATTGTTGACAAGGTTGACAACGTCTTCACTCTAAGTCATTTGTATTCCTAGGATTCTGAAGGTATGCGAGTTTGGTGGTTCAAGTAACTTCCTCTGTAACGTTATTGGGACTCCCGTCGATAATGTTGACAATGATGTTGATGCTTATTCATGTGTAGTTTGTCCCAAATTGGTCGTTATTAATTCCAAATTTTTTATTTAGGATTTTGTTTTACTCTTGTGGCCTTTTGAGGATGTCCTTTTAACCCAGTGAATGACACATGCACAATCACCCAATCTGAAATCAAATAGACAAGAGTGATAATGACCTCATTGTATTAAAAAGAAATAGTCTCTTTATATATTTTTATATTATGAAAGGAATTTATATAGAGCCTAAGTTCTAAACAATCAAATTAGAGCCTACCTCAAAACTTTGACTATAAGAGGTTGTTTTAATGCTCAAATATCATCAAATTGATCATCTCAACATCAAGATACATGGACATGAGAAAAAAATAGACTTCAAGTTTTGGAAATATCTTGTAACTAATTTGTAGACCATCAATTTTTAAGATTTTCAAGTTTTCATAGGTCTGCTCGATCTACACTACTTTAAATTTTATAACTAAAGATGAAAATACCATTTAAGGCTATCACAAAACTTTTCAGTATTGAAACCATATTTCTAGACACTATTTGAAGGTGGGCACCAATTTGATTTTTTAAAGTCTTGGCTCTATACAAACCGCACCCATATATTATATAATAATAAATAACATGAAAATCATATAATGTGACCATTTATCTTTGGTAAAAGATGGTCACAATTAATCTTGTTAATTGGATGTGAAATTGAGTGGCCGCATTTATTCCATTGACCAAGCTCAAAGTTCTAAATACATTTTCTTGAATTTTGTGACACACTCAAGCTATGATTATATAAGATGTGAAATTTCACATCTTGAAAGTCCCAAGTTGAAAGCTTGAAGTTGAGTTTTGAAACAACATTTATCTGTAAGAGAAAACTAGTATTCATTAGGTTAAATTTTGGACCTTGAAGGTCCGCAGTTCATCTTTAGAGCAACTTTACTTCTTTAAGATCCGAGCTATGTGTCGAGAAAACCCTCAAGGTCTTGGGATCCAAAGTTGCTCTTGTAAGGGTAAACTTCAGACTTTGAAAGTCCGAAAGAGGATTCATAAAAAATAAAATAACTAATTGAGAAAGAAGAGTGTGAATGTCATTTGTTTTTTTGAAAAGGAATGTTTAATTACAGCAGTTGGGGGTATCCATGTGAATTTATTTTTTTGTTAATTTCAATTCAACGAATAAAGGGTATGGTTTCCATAAGGTTGCAACCTTAAACAATCCAATTAAGGCGTACCTTCAAATTTGATCATAATGTATAATTTTGATGTAAAATATTCTTAGGATTATGTGAAAATCTATTTTGATATCTAATTATAAAATTTTAAACTTAAAAAATGGTTAAAATCAAGTAGATCTATAAACATATGAAAATTTTGAAAATGGACAGTCTAGATAATGCGTTGCAAGATGCATTATTTCTGGGACTCAAAATCTTTTTTTCTTTCTTAATCATACATCTCGATGTCGAGATGCTCAATCAGAGGGTTTTTCAACATTTAAATAACCTTTTCCGATGTATTTTTGAGGTGCATCCTACTTCTACATTTTAAGGTTGCAACCTTATATAAAATTTTTCCATGGACAAAATATCAAATAGTTAACCATTTAGATTTTTTTAAAATATTCACGTAACTAAAGATAAAGGAAAAAATATCTCTTTAGACCCTATTTTCAACTTTCATTCCTTCCTAAACCCAAAAAACTTCATAACCTATCTTCTAACCCCACAAATAACTTGATTTATTTTTATTCCAAATTTTAGTTCACTCTATAGACTCGTCATGTTCAGAGCCCCTCTCTTCTTCTTCTTACCCACCTTCTCTCAGCGGGGGCGCTAGTGGTGGCGGAGGGCTGGCAGTGGCGCTGGAGGAGGTGCTGGTGGTAGTCGATAGTGAGAGAGGGGTTTGGGAGGTTCGAATCAGCACAGATCATTTTTAGAGAGAGAGAGAGAGCTAGCCGTGGGTTTTTAGAGAGAATTTTTTTTAGAGAGAGAGAAGCAAGAGCGACGCTCAGGCCTGGCGGCGAAAGAATTCATTGAAAACCTGAAGATCTTGGAGGGTGCATTGGGTGACAAGCCCTTCTTTGGAGGGGAGAAATTAGGTTTCGTGGATGTTGCCGTGGTGCCTTTTGTTTGCTGGTTCCATGCCTATGAGGTCCATGGTGGGTTCAGTGTTGCAGCTGAGTACCCCAAAATTGAAGCATGGGCTAAGCATTGCATGGAGAACGATAGCGTTTCAAAGGTTATGCAGGACCCTGAGAAGGTACTCGAGTTTGTGGGGGTTCTCAAGAAGAAATATGGGGTTGAATAGAGAGACGTGTTAGAGAAAGAGAGGGTGTTCATTTGTGTATGTTTTTTGGTTAGGTGAGGAGGCCTTTTTTGTTGTGTTTTAATGGGTGTATGCGACTTTTTGGTAATAAAATGGAAGTAATTGGGGGAGAGGGAGAGGGAATGGGGATCATGTCAGAGGTGTTTAGAAAAATAATGTCTTTTTAAAGTTTGTTTGGGTAAAGAGAATCAGCAAAAAATGAATAGAATATGTTTAAGGAGTTAGGAGATATAATAGAGAAAAATTTGATATAATAAGATAGATTTTGCAACCTTGGATCAACGGAGAAATGAAAGTTGAAAATGAAGTCTACGAAAATAGTTTTCAAAAATGAAACAACATTAGGCAAGAAATTATAATAAAAGTTTATCTATCTAGATTGGATGGACTGGAATACAGTTTACATGCATTATGTACATGAATGGTACCATAATACTTGTGGATGTCTCTGTCTCTCAGACATTTATCTATTTGTTTTCTCTCTCTAAACAAATAGTCGACCGCAAACACCAGGGAGCTGGTGCCAAATTGTTGTTGTTTTCTCTCTGCACGTTTGGTTCGCGTGAAAATATTTTCTAGAAAATATTTTTTACATGAAAACATTATGTCATACAGTCAAATTTAAGAATATTTTTATATCAATTGGTCTTAGTGCATCTTTTCACGTCAATTGGCAACTAATTGATGTAAAAATCTTTCCACTCTACATAAGAGAATTTTTTTATGAAAAAATATTTTATAAAACATGTTTTCATGTGAATTAAACGTGTAAGAGTCACTCCACCCAAAATAGGGTTTTCTCCCTCTAGAATGCCCATCAAAATGACTACAAGAACTCACCCTTTTCTCATATAAATTCCTTAGGCTTATGCTTTCACCAGGATTGGAAATCAGGCTTAGGCTTGAATAATTAGTAGTGGACACTAGGAGCTCTACTCTTCAAGTTTGATTCCTAATGCTAAAGTACCCAAAAGAATCACTAAACACATGAAGCATCCTTTTGGCCTCAGATATCCTATTTTAATTAAAAAAATATCAATTTCAAACTAATACGTTTCCTAAAAGCTAAATTTTTAGGAACCGGTGACCCATGTGGATTGTCCACCCTACATATCTTTGTTAGATCACTGGATTGTCAATCCAGATCAATTCAAATTGATTTTAAATAGGCGATCTAGAAAATAGTAAATATGAAAAATTAAAAAAATTTCAAAATAGTGATTTAGGGGTTGCGGATTTAGAAAGACTTAAGAAAATAATAGATAAGTTTTAAAAAAAAATAAAAAAATAAAATAAAATGATAAGTTTTAAGGGAGAACTAGGCCGAGATTGATAGCATAATGTAACTAGTTTAGTCTTAGATGATTCCTAGTTAAGATTATCAATTTCAGATCCAAATCATTGGTTTTTAAGACTACCAAAAACTATGTAGCCCCTCATTATAAGATCTTATGCTTCCGATAAGGCTAAAAGTTAATTGCCTATATAGAAAACTGGTCTGGCTTGGTGAATCACCAATTTGAATCTACAAACTGGTGAGGTAATTGATAAAAAAAAAACAAAAAAACAAAAAAAAAGAAAAGAAAAAAAAAACAAACAAACATCGAAACCAGGCATTTGAGCAGCATCAGTTGGTTCCTGACAGAGTCGGAAATATTTCTTTTTGGTGCTACCCAATAAGAAGAGGGAGCGCCTAAAACTTAACTAAAACTATTAGGAAAAAGTTTATATAGAGCTGAGGTTGTAAACAATCAAATTAGAGCCCACCCCAAAAATTTCACTAGAAGAGGTTATTTTGATGCCTAAATATCCTCAAATTGGTCATTCGACATCAAAGATGCGTGGACATAAGAAAAAAATGGATTTCAATTTTTAGAAATAGTGCATCTTGTAACGTATTTTTGGACCGTCAATATTCAAGATTTTCAAGATTTCATAGATGTGCTTGATCTATAAAATTTTTGAAGCTTTAAATTTTATAATTAAATATTAAAATATAGAAAAAATATATCTTTGGACCCTATTTTCAACTTTCGTTTATTCTTAAACCCAAAATTTCAAAACCTATCTTCTAACTTCTCAAATAACTTTATCTATTTTTATTCCAACTTTTCACCCAAACAAAATTAAAAAATACATCTTTTTTCTAACTCTCTCTCTTCACGTGTTTCGGTCTCTCTCCATGTAAATCTCCCCAACCCCCCTCTCTCTCTACTTCTCGAGATCTTTCTCTCTATCTTCTTTTTTCCCATCCTTTTTCTCTCTCCCCATGCTTCCCTACATCCTCTCATGCGATTCCCTGAAGCCCTCTTTCCCCATGCTTCCCGGAATCTCTCTCCCCTATATTTTCCCAAATCCATCTCTCTAAATCACAGTCTCTCTCATCCCAAAGCACAACAATTAAAGAGAATCATGTCAAGAGAGAAAGGGGTTTACAGAGCGATAGAGCATCCATGTGTACAGCTCATCCGTAGAATTAAGACAGTAAATTTTTGATAGAGAAAAAACTTGAAAGAAATGAGATGCATAAGCTTTAGCATAGAGAGATCCACCTCAAGAATAGGGAGATCAAAGAGCCTTATCCTATTATCTGAATCGATCCCTTCAGAGATTGTAAGGTTCACTACCTATGAGAGGCTCTCAATGAGATTCGAAGGAGGAGAACCAGTAGCACATGAAACTGTCTTCATGCTCATTTTTGAGCCGCTTCTTTTCGAGGTTTGGTTGGGGAGAGAAAAGGAAGTTTCGGTTGTGAAGGAGAAGAGAGAGAGAAGAGAAAGTCGTCATGGAGGCCCGATCCTGATAGGAGAGGGCATGTTCAAGGTTGGTGAAAGGAGGGGATTTTGAAAAAAATTGAGAGATGGATGGGGTTTGGGAGGTTGATAGGGGGAGAGAGAAAGGGAATCATCTCAAGAGAGAGAGGGGTTTAGAAACAATACTTTTTACTAAATTTATTTGAGTAAAAAAAAAATAGTAAAAAACAAATAAAATATGTTTACGGGATTCGAATATATAATAGAGTGAATTTTTATGTACTAAAATAAGTTTTGCAACATTAGATCAAGGGAGAAATGAAAGTTGAAAATAGAGTATATTGAGATATTTTTCCCAAAATATATTATAAAGCTTTGAATGTTTAGTACTTTGGTGTTATACAAACCGCACCCAAAATATTATTTCACTAAAAGTTCTATAAAAAATTGAAATTATATTTTAACATGTGAAATGAACGATCTCGGCCGTCTGATAAACAGAAAAATTGGGGTCACGTGGTATATTATTTGCTTAAATACAGGGGCAGGTGGGCGCGGACACAAAACTTGAGCTTTCCGAAGAGCAAACCCCAGAACCATAGATCATGCCAAGGCCCTAACACCACATCCACCCATCTATCCGCCATCTTCAGACCGAACACTAACCTTAGATCCACCAATCTCACCTCGGAACAAACCATCTTCAGAGCAAACCCTAACCCTAGATCCACCAATCTCACCCCCAGAAAGCACCATCTTCAGAGCAAACCCTATCCACCTATCTCTCCTCAGAACACGCCATATTCAGACAAAGCCCTCACCCTAGGCCATCACCATCCGCTCCAGAACATCATAGTGATGCGCCATGGGGATCGACTGGATGCGTTAAAGCGCTCGTGGAAGCAAACTGCTCAGAGGCCTTGGGATCCTCCTCTCACCGTTGCAGGAACCTTCAATTCTTTATGGAGTGGAGGAATACTTAGAAAGGAAGGGTTTCAGATCCATAGGGTTCTGGTTTCTCCATTTTTGAGGTGTATTCAAACTGCTTCGGTGGTCATTGCTGCTCTCTGTGCAAGCGAGGAGGGCCTTCATGTGTTCATGACTAAGCTTGGGGCGTTGGAGATTCATCCATCAGAGTTCATGGAGCGCCTTGCTGAGTTCACCAGTAAGAATGTGGTGTTTGATCCTACTAAGATAAATGTATGATGATTCGAGAAAAGCCCTCAAATTTTTTTTTGGGTTTTCTCTCTCTCAAATTTTTAGGTTTGAAATGAACTTAAAACCCATCCAAATTTTGTATCACAGCTTCAAATCCTGTCAACCCCACCTACTACTTTGGTCATTGGAAATCACTTAGAATTAGAGATAACACTTAATATACATATACATGCTAAGGGATACAAAAAGAACCTTTTCTTTTTCAACACTATCTACTGTCGTGAGAAAGCGCTCTTAATTCAGTTCGGTAGAACGTGGGTCTCCAAAATCCGATGTCTTCAAACCAGGATTGAAAGGGACTCTCTCTGATCAAGACCCATCCGTGTCTGGAGCCCAAATCGGGTCTGACAAATTCAGCCGAGGTTCTGATAGACTCGGCCAAGTCCTTAAGCATTAAAAACCAATGGGAACCAGCCATAGTCCATGGTTCGCATGGTTTTGGTTCCTGTCTTGGCATTGTGAGTAACGCGTTGGAAACCAACCATGGTCAGCGGTTCTGTGGTTTTGGTTCTTATCTTGGCAGTCTGAGTAACTTGGGTGAGGCCGAGTTGGATGTGCTGACTTTTGACTCACTGAGAAATACAATCTGTTGAGTTGAGTCTTGTTAACGGGTTCTTCACATTTATAAGTTTTAAGGAAAGGATTGTAAGATTGGCCAAAATTGGGGTTAACCAGGGCATCTTTGTTTGTCTTTCACCTTCTTCTGTCTATTTTTATCTCCATTTGTCTACATCACGAGGTGTTAATGGATATTGAAAGCCTCTTTCTATCTGTCACTTTTCAAAAAAGATAAACAGTGGTGTCTCTAGTAAGTGAGTTCAAGCCAGGTGGGCCAATTTAGGAAAGTTGTCTGACTTTGCGTAGTGCTTTGAACTTGGTAGTGACACAATTCTTGTCTCCTGTATCTTGTTGAATATAATGCAGTTGAACTCTTGAAGGATACATATACAGGACACGCACACACACACAAACAGTTGGTTATTGTTGTTGAAAATTACACTTACACACCTTGCCCGTATTTTGTCCTGCATATTTCGTGATCGGCTTAATTTGATCTTTAGGTGTCCATGAAGTGATAGTGTTTTTTCAATTGGTACTTAACTACATTTGATGAGATACTACTTTCTATGTGTTATGTTCGTCCTTTTGTCTTTTCCCAAAGTTTTCTGCTGATTATCTGTGCATTTTTGTTTCGGTAACGTTGTAAAATTTTGTCATTTTTTCAGCTAAAGCTTGGAAATTTGAAATTTCTTATGTGATGAATTATCATGCCATACCAGTATCAAAATGTAGGTATACCCTGTAAAAGAAATTCCTGCAGATTAATTATGTGATAGAGAAACAAGAATGTAATCGAGCAGAGTATTTTTTTGTTTGGTTTTTGTTCAAGTCCTTCAGAAACTTTCAATGCTGGCACTGTTTTCATTAGCTTTACTTTTCTTTTGCAGGTCTCAATAGAGTATGGACTTTGTGAAGCCTTGTGCGGGTTGTCCATAAAGCCAGAAGTGATTCCTAAAGATGGGAATTGGTTCGCTGATGTTTCTGAGCTTGAAACTTTGTTACCTCAGGGAATTGTTGATCGTTTTGTTGAATGTGTGTACCCAAAGGTCTCTCCTCTCTTTCTTTCTCTCACTTTCCATCTATTTCCTGCTTCATTTTTGTTGTTAATTGGTTGTGTTTGTTTAAAACTGAATCAGTTGATGCTACAGTTCTGTTGTTAATTTTGGTGTTTGTGTAAAATTGAATAGTTGCCGCAATGGGAGGAGAAACAGAAAGTGTGGTGCAGAAGACTCAAAAGCGTCATTCGGTCTCTTGCAGACAAATTCCCCAATGAAAATCTGTTACTCATCACTCATGGTAACCCCTCTCCCTTTCTCTCTCACCCATACACAAAGGCATATCTAGGTTCACCAACGGACAAATCGAACAAAATCAACTTGAATTTGTAAAGTGGAATATCTAATTGCTTTGGGGATAAGCGGTGTGACCTAAAAGTTCAATACACAGAATGAAACAAAAATGGTTTAGTGAATCATCAAAAACCACACCAAAACCGGTGTTAAAGAGACCAAAGAGCTGGGCATAGAGAAGTTGGTGATCCAGTTTCACTTGCCAAGAATATTAGATAGAGAATATACCCCCCCACTCTCTCTCTCTCAGATCTGCGTCTCTTTTGCTTGTCGGTGCAGCTGCAATGGCAGCATTCTCCAAAAAGCCAGTGATCGTTGACAAAGTAGCTTACTGTTCCCATGCATGCCTTCAAAGATCGGCCACTTCTCCTTCTGATTTGGAGGCCCCTAACAAAGAAATCTCGGGGTGTTACCTATTGCATTGAGCGAAAGAGAAAGAACGAAGAACATGCAATAGTGCGGAATACATCCACTAAAAAGAGTCCTCAAAAGTAAATTGGGGGGGGGGGAGGGATAGTGGATGGGCTTGTGGTCTGCTGTTTGTTTTAACTATATTGGATCTCTATGCTCATGCTCTTCTCTATGCTCATGCTCTGTTGAATCATGGGTTTGAGTGTTCTTTTTTTCTTAGTTTTTTGAAAATGTTAACTTGTACAGAAAATGGCCCCGCAACAATGGGGCAGAGGCCCAAATAGAATGGACAGCAAAAAGTTCCCAAAAGCTTAACATCGTCTGTGATTTCAAAATATCCAAGGCCTGGCTCATTTAGTATCCAAATTTATCTTATAAACTGGACCTAATGACTTTCATGTTATTTCTGTCCTGTTATGTTTGGTGATGACTAGGGTGTTCCATTAAACCAAAAGTAATTTGTCTGCCCAATATTGAGAGTAATAGCTAAATGGCACATATATGGAAAATTGGAAATTAGAATGATCATTCTTCCTTATATTGTAAACACAGGTAGAATTTGCAAATTGAATGCATGTTTTAATGCCTGTAACAAGGCAAACGAACTTGGGTGGAGTATTGATGCATTATATAAGACCCCATAAAGCTTTTAAATGAATCTACTCTCATTAATTTGGTTTGTTGCTCAATTATGGCGTAAAATACTTGGAAAGAGAGAGAGAAATGAGAGAGAGAAACTATGTTTACTGGACATACATCAACCTAAAGGATCCAAAATGCCCATCTAAATCCAAAACAGTAAACAGCCCACCTAAATCCAAAACAAATCCAAAACGGTAAACAAGAAAGCAGAAATTATTAACTAATACAACCTATACGATTTGTATTCAAAACAAAAAGCGCTAATAGGAGTCCAGGGTTGGAGTCGGATAGGTGGGATAAGTGGTCAGCAGCAAGCACTAATTGGAGTCCAGGGTTGGAGTGGGATAAGTGGTCCAGCGTTGGAGGTGGTGCAGAGGAGTCTTTAACTATTATAGAAGCAGAAGGGTTGGAGGTGGTACAGAGGAGTCTTTAACAATCATAAAAGCAGAAAGCACTAATAGGAGTCATTAGGGTCGGAGTCAAATAAGCGGAAGCAGAAAGCACTAATAGGAGTCATTAGGGTCGGAGTCGAATAAGCGGGGTGGTGAAGAAGAGTCTTAACAAACCTAAAACTTCGACGAAGAATCTGATTCCTCCCCTCCACTCGCCCATCCCCATACCCGAACTTGGCCAAAAAACCTATTAACGTGACTCATTTTGGAATCAATGATTCCTCTTTTTCGTCTCCATTTGCTATGGTTCTGGTTCCTCTTATGTCTACCCTTTTGGCTCCTCCTCCTCTATCTCCTCCATTTGCTTTGGTTCCTCTTCTGCATTCTCTTTCGGCTCCTCCTCCTCCTTCGAGTCCTCTATTTGCTTTGGCTGCTCCAACTCCTCTTGGAAAGGTCTAATTCTATCTCTTTTGGCTCTTCTGATCCTCTTCTGCTTTCTCCTTCGAGTCCTCCTCTATTGCTACGGTTCTTTTTCCATTTGCTCTGGCTGCTCCAACTCCTTTTGCTCTTCCGATATTTTTGGAGTTTTGGGGAGCTTGCCACTTTCTTTATCTGTTCTTTTTTGGATCCATTGTGAGAGAAGATAAAGATAAGAGGAGAGACGGTAGTTCTTTTTTAGTTCCATTGTGAGAGAAGATAAAGATAAGAGGAGAGAAGGTTAAGAGATACGTTCTTTTTTGGGTCCATTGTGAGTGAAGATACAGATGAGAGGAGACAAGGTTTAAGAGATAAAATTGGGGAGGGGAGGGGAGGGGAGGGGAGAGGAGAGAGAAGGGAAAGAATAGAGAGAGAAATGAGAGTAATGAAGAGGATAAGACATACGCATGAGAGATAGGGTCCCCATGCAAATCCTTCTATAAAACCATGGAAGAAGCATGCCAACATGTAAACCATGTCTTCATGGAAGAAACATGTCAACTATGTGTTTATTTACTGAACACTAACTGAGACATGGCAACTATGTGTTTATTTACTGAAATTTTTTGTATATAGAATAGAAGGGTAAAGATATAGAACTTTGAACAAAAAAAAAAAACGGATTTGGAAGCAAAAATGGCGAAGTTTTTTTTGACCTTTTTTTTTTTTTTTTTTCTTTTTTTGAGAAGTCGTAAAAAAAGCGATTCTAACAATTTTATCAGAGTGATGCGATCTTGTCCTTGAGATTTTCAAAGTAATGAAGTTTAAAATATATTACAATAATATGGTATTTTTATAGAAAAAATCACGTTTTTAAACTATGATTCATATCTACCAAGCAATTCAAATTCTTAAATGGGACATATTGCATTGAGTACTTTATTCATAATAAAGACAATATATAGATCACATGCTATTTTTTAATATTTATTTCAGAAAATATAAATTATAATTTTAAAAACTCAAATTCTATAAAATCTATTAAATAAATAAAGGTGATTGAAATTATATAATCAAGAAAGAATAATAATTAATAAACTGATTTAAATTTAAATCATTACTATTTTTTATTAGAAAGGGCATATATTCCGTGTTTTCAATTATCCGCTGTTTAAAAACCTGGATCAACAACGTGAAACGCCCATCCGGGGAATCGGTTGTTTGGGTTGGTGAGTCACCGACCCGGTCTATGATCCAACCGAAAGAATTTACCAATAAAAAATTACTAGAAAAAATTGAAAAAAAAAAAATGTGGGGCTGGATTAGCCTGTTCATTGACATAACCGGCATATTCTCTAACTAGCCGTTTCCAATAAGTAGAGGTAATTGCCCTAGTGCCCCGTAAAAATAGATTTGGATGGGGTGATTATTATTCGGATCAACATTATCTTAAAAGCGTTGCAATTCTTTTATCTAGCACTCTTAAGTGTTCAAATTGGTTGCAACTTAGTGTATTCCACCTATGTTCTCGGTATCAAAAGCTTTATTTATAAAAGTGGGTTCCAAAAGAAATTACATTGTTTTAATGTTTAAATTTTAACTTGAATTAATCGTTAATAATTAGAAAATAAACAATTGAATCTTATCCAAAATATAGTGATAACCAAAATTATAATTTGGCAAAGTTTATAATTATTATGTAGTTTAGAAATTCAATGATTTTGTTATTTCCAATTGACTATGTTTTATGAGCAATTATTTCATGCAATGGTTGTATAGTACTATGATTCGACAACCTTCAAAAACTATGGTATGGCCATTTGTTTGATCCAAAATTTGAAATATGCACTCCTTTCATTCTAATGAACAATCACAAAAAAGAAAAATTTGAAAACACAAACTAGAAAGTATTTTTTTAGCCCAATTAACATAGGCCGTTCATTTTTGTGAGATGCTTAGATCTAGGCTTTAGAAGAATTGTTTCATTTCCAATTTTTTTGGATGGCTTTATTATCATTAGATGAACAATGTTAAAAAAAAACAAAATGATTTTGAGTTTATAAAAGTTAAGATCTTAAAATTCACCAAAGGAATGGTCTAGATTCGTTTTTGGAGGGGATCCATTTTGATCATATCTAGGGTTCAAATTGATTTTTCTTTTTCTTTTTTTGATTGATTATTGAGATCAAGAGAGTGATTTTCAGTCATAGAATAGTACAAACATAGTTTTCTAGATGTGTCGTTGCATTATATTACGATACAACCGTTGCATAAAATCACTGCCCATGTATATATAGGGAAAAGTTTATATAAGGTTGCAACCTTAAAATATAGAATTGCAGATGCACCTCAAAAATTATCGAAAAGGTTGTTTTAATAATGAAAAATCCTCCATTTGATCATCTCGACATCAAGATGTATGAATATAAAAAAAAGAAAAAAAATTCGAGTCTCAGAAATAGTGCATCTTGCAACATATTATCCAGACCGTCCATTTTTAAGATGTTCATATGTTTATAGATCTCCTTGATTTTAACCATTTTTGGAGTTTAAAATTTTCTAATTAGATATGAAAATAGATTCTAAGATAATACTAATAATTTTTTACAACAAAATTACATGTTATGATAAAATTTGGAGGTGCCCCTTAATTGCATTGTTTAAGGTTGCAACCTTATAGAAACTAT